ATGAATGTGATGTCCTTTTCGCATCCATATAACAGAAATATGAATAGTGCAAATGGACTTGCAAACATCTTATTTCACTGAACCAATTTTCAAAAAGTGATGAAAGAAAAAAATGCCCTTAAAACTGTTTTATATGATAACACAAATAACTCCCTTTAAGCGACCTTAGAAGTCAGATGACCTCGAAATTTTTTCAACAGTACTTTCTTCTCGAAAAAGAAGCCGAAGGTTTTTCCCGGAAAGTCACTAAAGCAGATCACGAAGAAAGCAAAATAAAAGAAGATTATACACCTCCATGTCTGAAGTTGAAAGTATTTCTTTGAAGTTATATATTTCATGCGGAATAACTTCGATATCATCATTAAATGAAAGGTAAAAATAAAATGCTAAGTAAGGTACTCTTGGGTAGAAACTATAGAAGCATACAAATTTCGAAGAATTCTAGAAGGTGTTGTACCAGAACAGTGTATATGGTATTTTATATGTGAAAATAATACATTACATGCAAAGAAGTATGTCGTTTATGACAGCAGTTTTCTTAATTTTCTTTAAGAATAATAGCAATCGATTATAGATTCCAGATAAAATTCTTGAGATTCGAAAGCATGCTTAACCTTCAGTTGACATTATGCGGGTTCACTCATTCCCACCTTAAACATGTCAATTAGTTTTGGAAATATCGTGTGCAAATCACTATCTGAATTACTTTTGGAGAAAATACGGAAAGCATTTCGCTTTATTTTAAAGTTATTAATGATTTAAAAAAAAAACTCATATAATGTATCTGAAACCTTTATTTGTGAAAATAGTATACTATTACTTACGACTCCATAAATTCTGACCCACCAATCACCGACTAGTTAATTCCGCTGAATACTGAGTTAGAATGAACTGGCTGCATGAAATGACTTTGTGATTTTCAGCATTTGCAATGTAAATACGAGCCAGTTTCCCTTAAAAGTTCCTCCACAAAAAAACATTTTTTTAAGCAGCTAGCAACTAATTGTTTTACCGTAATGAATCAAACAAACAGTAGAATAATTATGCACTATTAATTAAGATTTAATTAAACTTAATTTTGCATCTCTTATTGTGTAGCAGCACTGCCTTAAAATGCTTATTGATGTATTACGTCTATTGTTTGGGCAAATAACATTCAATTGCTAAGTCGGTGTGTATAATTAAATTTAATTGAAAAAATCATAGAAAGAAATCTGAAAGGTTTCAGATTTTAACGGTCGCCCAAAAAGGATTTTTAAGGATTTTTATGTTCTCACTGAGCTCGCAGTCTACTATTCGCTATTACAACTCACCTCCGGCAAACCCATTTTGGGGGGGGGGGATTTTTTTGCTTTTATTATTAAGCATAATTTATTTCGATTTTATGTCACATACAATTAAAAAAATTACAAATTTCTTAAAATCAGCATGGAAGCATACGTTCAGAATTCCCGATTCAGCGTGAAATGTTGGAATACAATTTTTCGTTTTTTCAACCTTTTCTCAGTTCATCAGATCAATATTCAGTTTTCTTACTAGGATGGCTTTTCTTTGTCCTTTTTATTATTAACGTTTTGTGTGTTTGTTTCATTTATTAACTATCACGCTGTTGGCGCTTACGCCACATAAAATTCAGTTCAACAGCAAAATCAAAAGGTATTTAAAAACAGCATATCTTTAGAATTTCCGATAGACAGTCTCGCGCGCTGGAGATAAAAATATTTTATTTTGTGCAGTTTTGCCGCTGTTCACTTTGAAATTGTTGAGTTTGTTAATCAAAGATTCGTTGAAGTTTTACAGAATATGAAGTAGATAATAAGATTAATTCGTAATTCAAAATTCCGGTTTCCAGAGGCACATATTCGCGTGAAGAACTACGTTATTCCAAATTTGATTGCTCTAGGTAGTGTTGTATTTTCATCATGCCAGAAACATGCATATATTCATATAGATTCTTCATTATTTAATTTCTTTAAACATAATACAGGGCGATAATATTTGGTGGCAACAGTTTGAAAAGTGATATGCCGTTTATAGTGATTCAACGCAAAATGCTATTTCGAGACTAATATCTTGTTCGGGACAATGGAACAATGCACCTACAGGACGATTTACTTACCTATTCTACCCCAATTGCAACACTGACACCAAGAGCACAAAATCCTTTTTATCAAGTCATATTACTGGCCATTGACCATATCTTGTTTATTTTCATCAAAGTAACTTAATAGACACTATCTGCATATGCTGCCGAAAAGGAGACAGTGATCACTATATTCTCATGTCCTCTCATAATAAAATTTTCATATTCGTACACCCAGAAATATTGATATATCCTTGAAAATAATGATAATCAAATTTCAACACCTTCATTCTAATATTTAACAAATTCACCAAAAACCTAACACAATTGGATTAGATCTATGCAGAATAACCCCATCTACAGCAAACGGAATGTAACAAAATATTTAATTTTCAACCTTTTACAATTTTAAAGAAAAATTATCGATATTTGTAACAAGTACTTACTTATTTTGATCGTAAAAACAAAAGATTTACAAAATCCATAATAAACAAAATGAAATATAAAAACTGAATCATGACAACAAATTAGAGCTAAAAAGATGAATCATGACATTGATTTGCTATGTTTGATAAAAATGAGTCATGAATATTGTATGAGTCATGTAAAATATATGAACTTAAACCATGAACTTTTTTATATGAACTCTATAATCATGAACACTTTAATGACTCATTAACTCTGCTTGATGAATACTGAAAACTATTTGTGATCATTAACTCTAAAGTACAATATTATTTTCTTCTACATTTTATACTTATATTTCATTAATTTTATTATATGATACATCTTGTACTATCCTATGTTTTAACATTTTATTCTAAATTTCAAAAATTCTAAATTTTATTATGCGTGATATTATGTATTATTCTATACTTTATTCATTATGCTATATTTTATTTTCTATATTTTAAGTATTATTTTTAATTTGTCATATGATGTATTCTATGTTTGAGCATTTTATTCCAAATTTGGAAAATTCAAAATTTTATTTATAATGACACATTAATTACTACTGTATACTTGATGTATTATTCTATATATTATCTTCTGTTTTCTTTTCCATATTAAGTATTGTTCTAAATTTTTCGTATGATATATTCTATGCTAGTTTAATGTAAAACTTGTTTTATTCGATTTTCCTCCTTTCCCACACACAAAGTTTTCGAGATCTGGTCTCATCCGGTGGGCTAATAATTAGATTCACCCACTACACAATAACCCTTCTAATGACCCTTTTTCTAGTTTTCTTCTAATAATCTTTCTTCCTTTTTAGTCCTCTTCTCTTAATAATAAACTCCTAAACCTCTCTCTAAAAAACTACCATCAGCTTTATTCTTCGTCTGTCCTTCCCTCCTTGCTCTAGTCGGTTAGTGATTGGTAGCTATACCTGTGCGATCTTTAATGGAGTTTCTGGTGCTCTCAACACTTTTAACTGTACCTGATTGGGACTTCCGTCCCTTTTCGGTTTAAAAGCTTTATTTAAAATATTTTATTACTATCAATTTAAGATAAATTTCAATAACAAATCGTACAGCCACTTTACATATGCCCAATTACTGATAACATATTTTTATCAGAATATGTTTAACCTTCACTAATGTTAGAAAATTATAAGTGACTGATGTACTGGAATAATTATTAACGCAAAAATGTTTCTCAATTTATTTTTACTGAATTTAGAGCAAGGTAATTTGAAAAATCTTTTTCAGATCTGACATTTTGAAAGATGTATTGAACACAATTTCAAAGCAAATTTTTTATTTATTATTTCATTCGATATTTAACTTTGTTTCCTGTTATTGCTGTGTATTACAGATAATTAAATCAATTCAATTTTATAAAATATAAATTTAAGTAAGAGTAAAATTATAAACAATAATAAATTTAAACCTTATTTTGTTTATATGCGTAACACTTTTCAAAGTATTAAGTACGTTTGATATAACTTTACCATAGGCTTTCGGCAATGATCTGTATTTTTTATCATTTACTTATCCAACCTGTATTTAATATCATGGATAAAAGGTTAATTCATTGAATTTATTAAAGCATAATAAAAAATCAATAGTAGATAGTTCGCAAACACGACTTGCTAAGTGTTTTAATACTTTGTAATAACAGAAAATTTGAATTTTTTTTTTTTTTTTTTTTTAGTCTAAAGGGACTTGAGTCCCGAAGGATTATTACTTTCGTTTTGGCATTTTGCGTCGGACTCCTATAAATGTAGATTCACTTTTCAAACTGTTGCCACAACATTTTAGAGTCCTGAATTATATTTGAAGAAATTAAATAATGAAAAATCTGCATAAATGTATGTCTATTTCTCACATTATGATAAAATAACGGTACATAGAGCCATCGAAGTTTTAAGATCCTCCAATCGAATGTGGCATTGAACGAATGGTGGGCATTGTGGAATTTAATGAATTTGGAATTTGTTTTATTATCGATTTCACATTTGGTAAAACTTTAACGAATTTTTAAGTAACAAACTCAACGATTTAAAAGCGGGCAATGGCAACACTCTATGGGGAAAAGGAACCTTTTTATTTCCAGCGCCCGTGAGTCTCTGTATCGGACATTCTAAAGATATCCTCATTTTCAAACTATTTTGCGATATTGCTGTTGGTTTATGTGCGAAGAACGTGATATTTAATAAAGAAAGGTAACACACAAAATGTTTTAAAACGCCCCTTTGGACTTAATATAAAATCTGAAACATTTAAGATTTTTTTTTAATTTTCCTTTTTTTTTTAACAGAATGAAAACATTCTGAAATAGATAGAAAAATGTGGTGTGCAGTTTACTAAAACATTTCATCTCTGACTGATGCTAAAATGTATGTGGTTCTCGTGATTTATTTAGGCTTGAGCTTTTCAGTGGTTTTGATAATGTGAATTAAATTCAAAGCGAAAAACAGAATACAAAATTTAATATCTTATTTCAAATACATTACACGAGCATCAAGTCATTTTGCTAAATACAAATATATACATAATAATACTTAAAGTATAAATATACTGATTACATGGTGCAGATCTAAGATGGAGGAAAAATCTTGAAAACTCTTCACACGAAGCTCTACGTCAAAAGTTGTAATAAAATTGGCAGCAAAAAAATGAAATTTTCATCTGAGCAAAATCTGAAAAGAAAGAATCATTCATTAATCAATTCAATATTTAAGAAGTTTTCAAAACACTGATATGAATTACTTTATTTTTGTAATCGATTGTTAATCCCAAAACTCAAATTAATGTGTTTTATTTTTTGAAACATCTCATCTTACTGCAAACATTTGATTTGAAATGACAACAAATTTTAAATGTTGATTACTAACTTTTAATTTCATGACTTGTAGTTAAATGCATTGAATTAATACATTAATAGTCTTAGTTCTTTAACATTCATGAAAAGTTGAACATACATTAATAGTCATGATTATAAGTATTCATAGTAGAAAATGTGATCAAATTTCGATAGTTAGTTCCCCTTGGCAAAAAAGGCAAAACTAAAAAAAGTCAATCTATAGATGGATGCAGTTCAGAGACATCAAGCTTCATCAAAGCAAGAAAGTTGAAAACTCAGCTAGCAATTTTTCGACAAGTAAGGTTATAATTCATATTATGAATATGTCTAATTGCATAGAAGCTGAAGTAATTTTTAAAAATTTCTTTGCGTTTCTAGAAGCCTTAAATATTAATGAAATAATGTATAATTTAAATTCAAATGTACCGTTAGTACAAAGCAAATAAAAAAGTTAAACTCTTTTAAAAATAGCTGGTCCTTTAAAAATACAGAGCAACTGTAAAGTAAGATTCACGATTATTTACGCAAAATTTGCTTGCATACGGCTAACTGCCATGCGAGATTGCATATTTTTGAAATATATCCAAATTTTGGTAGAAAACAGATAATACATAAAATTTTAGCATCAATTTATATAGTGTCATAGCTGGATAACTTATTAGAAACCTCATTTATGTTTTAAAATGCACTAATGCGCTTTTATCTTTAATGCATAATTCATAAAATATTATTTTTAATTTATAAATTTTAAATTCATATCCCTTTTTACAGAAGTCATAGTTCCAACAGTAGACATTATTTTTATTTAAGATGTAAAATGGAAATAGTTCTATGGTATTTTAAAACTGTTATTTTTTTTTTTTTTTTAAATTTCATAACAATTTTAATAGTAAATTCTTACATGAGGGGGTCATGACGTATTGACCATGCATGCGCAGTTTAGCCGAACGGCCTGCAACGCCTTTCTCTCACGTGCCTGTTAGTAGCGAAGTAATGAAAGTGACCCGCTGTACGTCAGCGTAATAATGATAAACGTGGTTTCTAATTTTGTGTTAACTATTTGATCTTGTTTTGTTTGTGTGTTAATAAAGAGTTGGTGTCGTTGAAATGTCTAGTTTTATGCAATAACATCTACATTAAGAAGGAAATATATATCCAGAACCCACCCAAGAAGAACATTATGACAGAGGGGTCATTTAACATGCAATCGGAAAATTTCGGACAGTAATCTAAAATTTTCTTGCTGCAAATATTTACCTTTTCCTCCAATATCAAGTGTTTTCCGCCCTTTCTTTATTTGTTACTTAAGGTCTTTCATTATGAATAACATGGTACCGAACATCGAGCTTCACAAAACGGACATTTATTATCATCAGTTTTACATTTTTTAACTATATTAGAATACTCTCGATAAAGCCACCATAGGCATAAAATTTAACACTTATAGATGAAATATATCGAGAACGAATACACCTACTTTAGTAGAAATCTAAAGTCTTTTAGGGGATCATACTGCGGTATCGAAGGGTCCGGGTTCGAATCTAGGACAATAAATAGATCTTTGTAAATGTATAGTGGAAGGGGAGAGGGGTGGGAGATCCTCGGACCACCCCTGGAGAGCTCTTCCTCAAAATTTGGGGTTGAAGTGGAAGTCCAACCTCTTTGAGGCTCTGGCAACCATTCTTCCATGAAATTCATGGACCAGACAATAACACCAACAACAGTAGAAACTTAAAAACTATACCGTTTGACAGAAAAAGGTACAAAAAATTTATTTATATGAGTAGCGGTAATAATGTCTGAAAATATATTAATTTTAATTAAAATTTTATTAAACATATTAATTTTAATTAATTCAACTACATAAAAAATAAATTAAAAAGTACATCATGGTTTTGAAAATACAGAAAATGTTTTTATTCGTATCACTTCTTTTAGTTAGATGTGGAACATTCTATTTTTCGAATCCCAAGAAACTTAAACAAAGGTTCTAAATTCGAAAACTCGAATTTTTATGCATTTTTCATGCATCGAATCTTTTAAGTCTTAATATAAAATCTCAAGACATGTGTTTGCTCAAAAAGTAAAGATCAGTTTTATCGCCATCCACTAAACACGTTTTTGGTTTATTTGATTATGGCAAAGCCCTCGAGGGCTACTTTGTGGAGGACTTTCAAGAGCCATCCACCAGCAGCATTTACTTAAAAATGAACGCAATTATTACAATTTCATTTGCCCTGTACCCCAGTATTAATTTAAGGCAGTTCTAAGTGACCCACTCTTAATTTTTGTGGAAGAATTCATCGATCCATGTTTTATGTTCATATATGTTAATTTGTTGAAATTATTTTCTCCATTCAACACTTGCTTTTATTTAGAAATGTAATATACTTTAACTGCATTTTACATAGAAAATATAAAAAGAAATATTTGAACTAGAAAATGCTAAGTACTTGAAAAGAATCCTAGAAAATGTAAAATATTTCAACATTTGCTTTGATATATATCATTGAGAAAATGAAGATACAAGAGTTTTATTTTGCACTTCATCCACTAAATTTCATAAATCATAAGCTACTTATTTATAAAACCATATTTTAACCCATTCTCTCTTAGGCATGCCCTGTTTTGAGATATTTATGTACAAGTTAATTTTTTGAAAAATTTACAGGCGGCATATAATTTGTAACTGAAAATGTTTGCGAATTTTTAATGTTCAAATGTAGAGGAATGTAGAGAAAAGGTCAAAAATTATATTTTAAAATATTTATGTATCAGTAATGCTATTCGTTTATCAATATCATAATTAAGTTAATAAGGCATGTTTAAGTGACTTCGGGTATTTCGTATATGTGAGTGAGAGCGAGATATCATGCTTCAATTTGACATTCGGCTTCCCGAGAAGTACGATACTCTATAAAGTAACAGTAATTAGAGAGTCGTCCTTTAACGTCGTCCTTCTTTCAGGTAACTTATCCTACCAGTCCTGCACTTTTATATTATCCAGGAGCTTCGTCAGTAAGCATACTATTAATTAGAGCCATGCCTAAATATTGTTGAACCTGAAACAAAGAGGAAAATTTGGACCTCTGCTACAGTTAAATTAAAAATCTATGTATATTTTTATACGATGTTTATATACTACCGTTATTATTAGTATTAGACGTTATATGGTTAGGTATTTAAGGTTGTTCTCTGCAATTTAGCTACCATTGGTCAGCAGTGGGAGGCGGTCTTCGACTTGTTCATCATTCTCTTTGTATGGTGACTGGTTGGTGCCCGGTTGCCCCTGACTTGCGTTTCATATATTTCAACTGTTTTTATAATTGTCGCCCGGATTTCATCGGTGGAGGGGGGGGGCGCCACATTGCATCATCTCTAGGTCTGGGACGTCAATAACCATATTAAGGGCTTTAAATAGCCCAGGTTAGAGAGGTTCTTGGTTCTTCTCCCTAGTGCACTAATGCAGTGTTCCTTGGACCGAGGTGAAGTACCTCATCGTTATCGCAGATCAAATTTGACATAGCTGCCCCACATAAAATGTATAATTAATAAGTTTCGATTGTATAAATCTAAACTCTACTTCGTAATTGCTCGAAAAAGCATTTCAGATACAATTTGGGATATTCATGTAAAGCCACATTAATAGAAAAGAGCAAAACTCAACCGTCAGGCGAATAGTTAACAAACGATGGTTTACCAGAAACGCTGCTAGTTAAATGGAATATATATGCTGACGATTATATAATTTATTGCTTTAGGAAATTTAATGAAAACGGGAAAAGTTTATTACCCCAAGGTTCCTAGTCTTGATTATGTCCTGCATAGTTTGAATGATAGGAAAGTACCCAGAGACATTTTCAGGCTATCATCAACTTACACTGAAATTGTTACAGCCCAACTTGCACTGGGATGAAGACTTTGAAAATCCCCTATTAGTTTAAAAAGTATTTGGCTTCTGGAATCTAAGTTTTCTGAAATACCGGGAGCGAAGCACCTTCGATTCAGTTCGATGTAAAAGGTTTATAGTTTCAGTTTATTAGTCGGGCGAAACCTTAGTGCGGGCTGGTGAGAAATTTCCGCTATGCGAATCAAATCTGAATCAGATTGTAGGCTACACAAATGAGTAAATGATGTACAGAAAATACAGACGAAGGTAAAAGTTGGAAGAATGAAAACGCAAACGGCAAATCAATGTAAGCTGACGAGACAGAGCCGCATCTGCTATTGTGGTGAGGAACAATTATGTATTTAAAACTCTAGTTGCAACTGGCTCAGTGGATGAAAAGATAACCACCACAGTCTTCATTTAGCAAATAATTCGTAAACTTTACTTCTCCCATCAACCTATTATTGTTTAATTTTATTTAATGGTTAGTCCATATTCCTTCCTGTAATTCTTACGTATTTACATTATCTAACGTTCGATTAATTCATTATTTCTCCTTATTTTTCGGCCATATTTTCCAAATTACGCAGGGTTATTGAAATGAACCTTCCCCTACCCTCAACTCAAACGTTTGGATTAGACTGCTTGCACTTACCGCCAATCACATAGTTGCTTTGCTTGACTCTTGTTTCTCTTCATCAACTGATATGTTTCTTAACATGCTTGTTCGTACACATGTACTTCAAACTGCACATATTGATATCGGAAAAGAATTTCTATCTTTCTTCAAGCTATAACATGCACTATCATTAATGTTCTAATATCGTTCTCCGAGCTGCTATACCATTTTGATATGCTGTTAACTAATAGAAAGCCTGGAATTATTTTTGTACTAAGCTAGGGCTTAGCGCACGTATCAGTAACTGATCCTCATGCTCAATCAAGGC